AAAAAAAAAAAAAAAAAAAAAGCTCAGTGTGAAGGCCCGGAGTTCAACCTCCAGGACAAATAAACCAATCCCCTAAAAACCTTGCTGTTCTCTCTGGGAAGTGGGTGAGCTCTTCCCTAGAGCACTGGGAGGAGGCCAGTCGTCTCTGCCACAGTAGTGGCACAGGTTTCTGAGCACCTGATTTCAGGGCCAACCCACTGAGAGACCCAGGAACAGCCTCAGACCAGGCCCAGGACATGGTTCACAGGAGCCAGACCCCATGCCCCCTGCACAGGAAGGAGGGAGAGAAGACAAAGTGCCTTTGTTCCCACCTCTCAGGACATTGGGCCTGCCTCGCCTGTGCCTGTCTCCTGGGGGCCTGCCCACCGGGATGAGTGCTGGGTCCTGGCCCCAACTCTGTTTCCAGAACGATAGCACAATAGGCCGGGGGACCCAGCTGAGGAAGGGCCTCTGGCGCAGCAGCACTGTCAGTGTCCCTGAACCACTGATGGCTGGGCTGGTGCTACAGCCAGCACTCTATGGCTGAGGAGCCAGGCGTGCTTGCCCCATTCAGAAAACCCCCAACCGACAGACCAGTGGGGTCTCTTGGGCCTTCCTGAGGCTAGGCAAAAAGAACACAGTTCTCCAGTGCTGAATCACAGAGAATGATTTTGGATTATTGAGTTCTTAGGGATTTTCTCATGGCCCTTCACCCAGCTTCACTACCTCACCATGGGCCTACGAGCAAGGGGCAGGACCCTATCACAGCGTCCCACCAGTGCCTCTGCTGCTCACCTGTCTCCTTCATCTGGGCCCTCGGGGACAGGCACACCCAGAATGGCCGATCTTAGCATCAGGTACTCACGGATGCTTGAGGGGATGAAGATGTAGCACAAGTCCTGTCAGGGCGAAGACCAGGCTACATTCATCTGCTGCTCAGAGGGAATGGCCCTCTCTAATCTTGGCACCTGAGCTAAGAGGAGTTTCCTTATATCCCTTCATTCCCACTCTGAGGTAACATGGTGATTTCACTGTATGTTCACAAGTGCTTTGAAAACCCTCCCTATAAGAGGTAAAGCCTTAGCTAGGGGTGACAGCATATGCCTTTAATCAGTCACTCTGGGAGGCTGAGACAGGAGGATGACACATTCAAGCCTTGGCTGGGCAACCTATTGACTCAGTAAGAACTTGTCTAAAAGATAAAGAATGAAAAGGACTGGGAATGTAGCTGAGTGTGGAGGCCCTGGGTTCAATTCCCAGTGCTAGGGGAAAAAAAATAAAGAGCTGGGCATGGTGGCACATGCCTCTAATCCCAGCACTTGGGATGCTGAGGCAGGGGGATTGCTTCAACTTCATGTCAGCCTGGGCTACATAGTGAGTTCAAGGCCAGCCTGAATGATATAGTGAAACCTTGTTAAAAAAAAAAAAAAAAAAAGTTTCTAAGAAACAGAAAAAGTGGGAAGCAATAGCATATGTCTGTGGAGACTAGGTCATAAAAGGTGTTGTGGCTTCCTTGCTGTCTGTAAGTGAAGCTGACTGCCATGTTGTGAGGACTCTCACATAGCCCACAGAGGAGCCCAGGTGGCAAGGACTTGTGAGAGAGCCATCCTGACTCAGCTCCCACTGGAGGCTTCAGATGACAGCAGCATTCCCACCATCTGGGACCCTGAGCCAGAACCACCCCGCTAAGTCACTCCCAGATCCCAAACTCATTGAAGCGGTAAGATAAGAAATATTTAAGTGCTTGCCTGGCAAGCCTGAGGTCATGAGTTCGATTCCTGATACAAAAAGAAAAATTTTTTTTTGTTTAACGTTTTGGAGTTAGTTGTTACATAGCAATATATAACTTATGAAGGTGCTGTGGCCACACTGGAAACAAAGCTGCCTCATTTTGTTCTACTGTGAGCTAACAGGCCACTAGGGTGGCTAGGACTCTCTTGAATGCCATGGTCAGAGGAAGAAGCTTCTAGAAACCCAGCCATGCCTTGTGCAGCACTACAGAACCCCTTCCCTGGGATCTCCCGTGCCCTCCGTATGGCACCCAGACCACTTGAGGTGGGAAGTATGAGTTAGGGCAACTAGGTATGGTTGAAAGAACTTGAGGCCAGCAGACAGGTTCCAATGCTGGTTCCCACTCACTAGCTGTGACTTGGGCCATGTTCCTTACTTTCTCTGCATCAGTTTCCTACATAGGGCTACTGTGAGAACTCAAGAGGTCATACAGTGTTCTTTTGGTGGGCCATGTGGAGAAATGGAAATAACTTTAGTGGGTGTGGCCAAGGGGCCTAGATTTTGATAACTCTAGCTAGGTGACTATGACATGTTCCTGGATTTTTCAGTTCTGAGTTTTGCCATTTGGAAACGGGTAGAATGGTCCCACTCCTGGCTGCTGTGATGACCACAGAGGAAGTCCCCTGTGCACAGCTCCTACAGGCAGGTCTCGGAGATCATGAGCTCTTGCCAGATGCAAGGGCACCAAGCTCCCATCTCCCCACCAGGAAAAGGGTTGCCCTGGCACCTGTCAAATGCCTGGTGTGTTGTCAGCATTCAGTAAATATTAGCCATCCATCTTCTCTGCTCTACAGAAAGCCTGAGTGGCCTGAAAGAATATGGAGTGCTCGACCAGCTCCTCTCCCAGGTTCAGTTGCTCCATCCCTGGCAGCCAAGATCCTGGCGCTAACTCTTTCTATCCACTAGGGATGGGTCTGAAAGCCCTGTGGTCCACCCCACAGAGGGGCCCCAGGAACGTGGCACCAAGCTGCCAACCACAGTGATGTGCCCCGTGGGGCCTCACCTGTCCTTGCGGCACAGAGGTGAAGCCCAGGTGTCGGTAGGAGAGGAGGGAGTTCTTCATGGTGTTCACAGTGAAACCATAGAATGAGGTCTTAGTGCCCACATCACGCTCAAAGCCTTTGATCACTGCTCCGTTGAGTCTGGCCGGAGCAGAGGCCCATCAGTGTCTTTGTAGGTACACCACACCCTCTGCTCTAGTTCATTTCCGGGGCTCTCCGCCTGTCCCCACGCCCTTCTTGTATTTGCACACTCCTTCTGCACCTATGTCCAGAAGCAAGCCCAACGCCCCTCCCCAGCCCTCCAGGGATGCCCTATGCATGGATAAATCTGCCCCAGTAGCCCTTTCCTCCCTGGCCCCTTGGACACCCATGCTCCATGTTGAGGGTCTGCTGAGCCTTCTCCTACAGCTGTCGGTTGCTTAGGCTTCCACATTGCTTGGCCCCTGCTGCCCTGGCCCATGTCCTCAGGGAAGACACTCCCTGGGCCACTGAATACCAGCTGTCCACACAGCTCTTCTGCCCTCTCCGCCCCGGCCTCTGCCCACATACCTGAACACATAGTCATGGGCATCAATATTCAGACCCTGACGGGACCCATTCAGAATGCCTCCGTTACCCACCACAGCATACCGGATGCACTTCGGAGGGGGCTCCCTGGAGGGGACAAATAGCTCTGCGCTCTCAGATCTGTTCAGGAGGCTCAGGGTGGAGGTGATGGCTGTGGGTGAGGACAAGGGGTGGCCATGAGGAGGGCTGTTACCAGGGCCACTGAGCTCTTCCTGGACCACCTCACCCAAGGCCTGGCTCCAGCCCCTCCCAAGAAGCACCGAAGCTGGGTGATGCATGGGGATAGGGCTGAGGAAACTGAGGGGGAGGAAGAGCCTTGGCTGGACCTTCAGTGGCTTAAGAACTTGAATAACTAAGGGTGCAAGCCTGTGATCCCAGCTCTCTCGGGAGGCTGAGGCAGGAAGATCACTACAAGTTTGAGGCCATTTGGGGCTACATAGGGAGCTCAAGGCCCACCTGAACTACATAGTGAGACCCTTTCTTTAAAAACAAACAAAAAAATAGGGCCAGAGGTGTAGCACAAGCGGGAGTTTGATTCCTGGTAACACAAGAAAAGAAAAAAAGAAAAGAATCCCCCATAAAATCCCACATAAAACAAAAATAAAAAATTTTAAAAGGGCTGGGGTGTGGTCTAGTGCTAGAGTGCTTGCCTAGTACACACAAGGCCCTGAGTTTGACCCCCAGCATCTTCCTCCAAAAAGAACTTAACCAGTCCACTCAAGACTGTGTGCGTTATCAGACCTGCATGTGTAAACACTGACAGTATTGTCTCCCTAGTGTAAGAACATGAAAGAGTAAATAAAACCCAAAAGGCCCAGTAGATATTGTGAAAGGGAAAGAAACTGCTCAAAGAAACTGCCCAGTTGTCGAAGGAACAACTGGGATGAGGGAAAGGAAAAAAGGAAGAAGGAAGGGAAAAATGTATGTATATACAAGGATAGCTGGGATAACTGTACTGCTGATGTCTATTGGTTTATTGAAAGGAACTGTTATGCTTAAATTTTTTTTTCTTGACGGGTTTTGCATGCTTGTGACTGGTAATCTAAGCAACTGGTTTGAAGACAACAATATGCAATGTGGTGGCCATTGCTGAATTCCTACCATCTTGTTTAGTGAGGCTTTATATCGCTTGTTTTTTTATTACTTTTTATTCTAATTGTTTGATCAATCTTGCATTCTTACATCTGGTAATCTGGGCAACTTCGTTGAAGATGGCAGTATGTAGTAATATAGCAGCCATTGTTAATTCCTCTCATCTTGTTTTGAAATCGTGTATCACTTTTTTTTTTTTTTTTTTTTTTTTTTTTTTAGGGTCTCACTATGCAGTTCAGGCTGACCTTGAACTCACTTTGTAGCCTAGGCTGGTCTCAAACTCACAATGATCCTCTTGCCTCAGCCTCCCAAGTGCTAGGATTACAGGTGTGCACCACCATGCCTGGCTACTGCTATGCATACTTTCAGTGGAATTTTTAATTCCTGGATATCTGTTTGAATCTATTTCATGGATTCTATTTTATTGCTGT